CTGGATACCACCTCCCTATGGAATATGTAGTTACAACCTTCTTAATTCTCCACACTAACCCCCAAGACCCCACAGGCAGTGCAGATATGCCACAGTGAGCACCTGTGAGTCATAGTGTGCCACAGTGAACACCTGTGAGTCATAGTGACGCCTCCACAGACCTCATGCCTGCTTGCTCCAAACCCATTGATTAGAACTCCCTATGGGAGCCAAATGTGGTAGCCATACCTATAATTCTTTGACTAGGGAGGTAGAGGCAGGAAGATTGCAAGTTTGTGGCCAGCCTCAGCAACTTAGCAAGACTCTGTCTCAAAAAATAAAAAGGACTGGGATGTGGCTCAGTGGTGAAGCACTCCTGGGTTCAATCTCTAACACCAAAAACAAAAAAACAAAACAACAACAACAACAAAAAAAAAACAACAACATAGGTAACCTGCTTGAGTTAATCCTGGCCCTAACAATCTTTGGGTCCCTCATGCTGTCTTTCTTGTTCCTCACCCACTGGTGGAGCATGTGTATTATACCAGCCTCCCCTTGTTGGCTCTTCAAGGCTTGCTCCCCTCACTGGCCTCTTCTCTCTGGGATCTGTAATTAATACAGTGCTCCTATTATTTCATATGCACTGTTGTGCTGCCTCCTTTGTGTCTCACCTGACCAGTCCACCTGACRCACTGTCCTCTGGGTCAAGGCTGTCTTAGAGAGGGATGTCTTTATAGGAATAAACTGGACAAAAGACACACCAGAGCCGCAAAGATATCTGCCAGTACCTATGGACCCAAACTTATATGTCCGCTTAAGAATTTCGATTTTAAGATGGTGGGTGATATGCATTTAATCTAAACCTTACTTCGTCTTTTTAATTTTGATCTTTTCCTGGATGAGCAATATGCAGCAGTTCGCACTCTTGAGATGCTTGGCAGGGCAAGGAGCCAGTGCTCTCAATCAGCCCTGCGATCAYGAGGGGAAACAATCAATACTCTGCAGTGCGCTGCGTTGCTAGGCTACGATGCTCTGCAGGCGAGGTGTAATTCAATCTGTTTTCAACATGAGATATTTTCAGCTTACAATAGGTTTATCTGGATGTAACCCCATCATAATTTGAGGAACATCTTTACAAAGAAGCTTCCTCTGTGAAGGACACCTGGTCACAGTTTGGACACTCAGACATTAGGTCAATCTAAAGAAATATTGTGTGAAGCACTGTAACACCCATGACCACCTTCCTGGATCCCTGGTAGGGGCAAAGCTAGGTCTTATTCTCTCACTTTCAGAACCAAATCAGAGGAGATAAAATGGCGTAGCCAGCAGGGTATGTGGTTATGGCCATGAGGGGCACAACAAAATACCCTGACCTCCTGTGTGGCTCTCCCAGGAGTCCTAACTGTGCTGGGAAGCAGCTCTGAGTGCTGAAGTTCTGTCAATCAAACACTTGCCCTGCACCTCTACCCTGTTGCCTGCTGCGTCCACCCTAAAGAGTTACTGTTGCCAGTTTCAGCACCAAGTCCTCCCAAAGAGAGCAAAGTGACCCACACCTCTGGCCTAACAAGGAGAATGTACCACCCTGGCATGATTGACAAGACAGGACTTTTAAAAACAGAGTGTCCTCTTCCACCTTTCGCCAGAAGGAGGACCCTTGAGCCTGGATCAGCTTGCAAGGTTATTACCTCTACCCCAAGGGAGGCTCAGGACTGAAAATGTGCAGGAAATTAATTCCCATATCAAGGGAACCACCGAGCAGGAAGTCATAGCAGGAGTATGTGTTCTAACCTAGATAAGAATGATCTCAAAACAGCAAACCAGTGGCACCAGCAAAGGGGAGATAAGGCTGAAACCCGCAGTCTCCATTTGGGGCCTTTGCTTTGCTTCTATAGTTCTTTGTCCCTCTAAATCCAGTGAGTACACTCTAGAGAGGGCAGCAGCTGACTACAAATGGGGCCAGTGGCAGCTGAAAATGGAGGTTTCTGCTCACATAGGAGCTGCTTGGTATTACCCCGAGCATGACAGGCAATCATCCAGTGAGACAAGGAAATGTATTTTAGCTGCCTAGACCGTTCTAAAGATTTTACTCAAAAGGAAATAAAAGGGTGGAAGAAGAAGCCATTGCCTAGGGACGCCAGTTCCACTGCTGCTCCCCACTCCCCATTTTCTCCTTCTGACCAGAAACAGAATATAAGAACTGTTAAGTGGCTAAAAGCCTAAAACAAGACAGGAAGAAAAAAGGAAAAAAAAAAAAAAAAGAGGGGTGTGGGGAGGACAGTGTTGGTCAGGTAACCTCAAAACCAAATTTGAAGAAATTTATATTTATAAAACAAAAGTATACAAAATGGCAGTTCAGAGCCACAATCCTGCGATTAATGTGTCGTGAACATTTTAAATTACTTGCATCCCCACATTGTTTTTAATAGAATTGTTTCCTGAAGAAAACCTCTGCTTGCCTGTCACAGCTGTGTGTGCTCCGTTACATCTTTGATCATGCAAATCCTATTTTCCTAATACACATTAGCACGCTGTGGACAACTGAAAATTTGAACCTGTATGATATTAAATTCTGAATTAACAGCTGATCAATATTTGAAGATATTGATATCAGTATCCCAATCTTAAGGAAAATATGCCTCCAASTTTTAGGCGAGGAAAATAATAGGGAACTATTTAGAAAAGAATCACGACTGGATGACTGCTTAATATTCAGTGTGGTATGTTAAAAACTGTGGACAAATCGAAATTCATGTGTACTGATCCCCAGCACAACCGTAACACCCCAACTATACAAGAAAACAAGAACAAGAAGGTGGTGAGAACATGAAGAAGCTGTTGCCCAAGAGGACTCCGGGTGGGCATGTAAAACCAGGCAGCCGCTGTGAAAAACAACGTGGAGGGCCCTCAACACAAAGAACCAGCGAGATCAGGACAAATACCTCCCTCCCGCTCCTATTCCTGAAAGATGGAAAGTAGACAGAATCAGAGGTGCAGAAAAAAGGCTAGGGTTGTGGCTTACAGGCAGATCACTCCTCAGCACCACATAAAAATAAGTAAATAAAGGCATGTGTCCATCTATAACTAAAGAAAAATTTTTTAAAGAAAGTGGGGAGAGGGCAGGAGAATCCGGGTTGACTAGTTATAAAGGTCAAATTTGTAAGCTGGAAACGTTCTGGGGACTGATTGCACAGCAATGTAAATTTGCTTAATTCTACTGAACTGTGCATTTAAAAACGGTTAATATGGTTGCCAGGTGCGGTGGCACATGCCTGCAATCCCAGCAACTCAGGAGGCTGAGGCAAGAGGATCACAAGTTTGAGGCAAGCAGGAGCAATTTAGTGAGATCCTGTCAACTAAAAAGAAATAAACAGGGCTGGGAATGTAGCTCAGTGGTAAAATGACCCTAGATACTTTTAAAAAAAAAAAGGTTAATATGATAACTATAAAGTGTTTTTTTTTTTTCCTTTTAAATTTTTTTTTGTTTTTGGTGGTACTGGGGATTAAACTCAGGGCCTATCACATGCTACTCTGAACCACAACCCCAGCACTAAGGGTTATTTACTACAGTTTTTAAAAACATGAGAAAAAATTAGGGACCGAGAACATTCCTAGATTTATACTGCTTGCTTACTTTGCTTTGCCCATTCATTCCCTAGAAAACCACAGTCAAGTCTCCCACCCACTGTGTTTCCTTCTGCTGCCGGCTCACTATCTCACTTCCCTGAGTGGCCTGTGTGGTGCCGTGCCTCCTGTGTCTTGGGGACCCTGCATATAATGAAACACTTTTCTTCTTCCTGGCAATTGTTTTTGCGTATGTGTCCTACCATACCTGGTCAGATCAATCCCAGGGGATGTGATCAGAACAGCTCTGAGCAGCGAACACAGAGATGATTATCCTCCAGTGGCGCTGGGCTTAGTAAGCCTCCACTGATAGTGGCCACTACCTGAGAGGGCACTCCTGGTGTGGTGCTCTTGTTGCTTGTGGTGTTTTTTTTTTTTTGTTTTTTGTTTTTTGTTTTTTGTTTTTTGTCGGGTACTGCCCTGCTTTCTCAGCCTTCAACTGGGGAGCTAGAAGAGCTGAGCCCTCCGTTAGCTACAGAGTGGCAGGCTCCATATGGGACATGGCACAGTCCCAGCTGCATAGAGTGCTGTGTATGGGACCAGGCACAGGTCCCATTTGTGTAGAGCCCTCCTGCAGTGTGAAGCTCCATCACACTCACACGGTGCACATGGTGTCACAAAGTGTATTAACACAAGAGTAATGGGGTACACAGTACCCACCCAGAGTTACAAGATGAGAAGACAGGGGCATAGAGTAGGAGGAGACAGGGACATAAGGTTCCCCAAAGAGTTCCAAGACAGAAGAGTGGTGAGTAAAACCCAGGTATCAATTCTAAAGGGTAATTGATAACGAAATGTCAAAAATTGCAGGAAGAACAAAGAAATGGGAGAGTAAATCAACCAGAAGCTGTTAATCTTTCAAAAGGGGTAGGCGGCGGGTGGGTGTGGAAAGCACACAAAGTCAGTGTAAAAAGTTTTTTCTACCATGTAACCTAAAAAAGGTAATGCAAGTTTCCATCTCTGAGTTCCGTTTCTCCTAGTTGTTCTATAGTGAGCTTTCCACAAATGATGTTTGACTAAGGATTACAACTACTTAAAACCCAAGTTTATGAGTTGTGAGTTGTTATTATCTCAGTAAGAGCTGAGAAAATTACTGAACATTCTTTGTACTGCCACCCCCACCCCAGCAATCATCTTTTTTTTTCTTCTTTTTTCTGTCTTTTAATGCTTTAGGATTCATCAGCACTGTAGTCAGTCCTGTATGATCCGTCCTCAACACTTTTTGGCAAGACCAAAAATACAAATTTGCAGACAGAGCATTTTGTAAACTATCAGGAGTCCTTTCCTTTTTTGTCATTTGATAGTCAGAATGCTGTTTTGTAAATAAATCATTTGCAGGAATCCTCATCAGGTCAGCTACATTTGTGTCAGTTTGGGAAAACAAACACGAAAGCACTTACCAGTTAATGTTGTGAGGAAAGAAGCTTTTGTGATGCCTGGGTGTAACCTCCGGGCTCCAGAATGAAATGGAGGGTGGTTTTCTGAACCGCTAAGTCGTACACTCTTTTTCCAGCCTCCTCATGCCGCTTTTATCTGGCTTTTCAAATGACACTGTAGAAAAGAATGATGTTGAGTTTTGAATGTGGTTCTTCCCTTCCTCCGCCGCCCTTCATAAAAAATTCATCATGTATTCCAAGAAAAAAAGTAAGCAGTGGACATACTGTACAAATTAATTATTTTGCTTAGCATGTTTGTGTAACAGGTTTGTTTCATGATTGGAAACCATCCCTATTAGCTGCCCTGCTGCAGGCTGGAAAAGCAGGGATTTGAAGCCTCCCCCCTCCCCCTTCCCTCCTTTGTCTGGGTAGGCTTTTGCTTATGAAAAGTCAAGTTACATTAGCAGCAATGGAATGAAAAGAAGCCTTAAATTGTCAAAGGAGAGTTGTTCAGTGCGCTGGGTTTTAGGTGCTCTGACAGTGAAAAAATGAAATCACATTTTAGTTAATTGGACATTTTAATTTTTGATTTCTTTACACAGATACATTGAGAGAGAACTTTACAAACACTGAGGAAATTAAAGTTTGATTTTTATCCCTTGTCACTCACGTTCTGTGGCCCTGGCAAATTTTAACACATCCATGTACCTGAGGCAAGACTCAGAATTCTGAAAGTTGAGGGATGAGAAGTCTGGGTACTTAGCGAGCCTGCAGAACTATCTTGATTTTTGTAAGGTTAATATCAGCTTCACGATGTGATATTTGAAACTGAACATTGTTAGGCCATAAAAAGGTCAGCTGCCAGAGAAGCACAGGATTTTGTTTTTGCCTAAAAATTCTACAGCAGTAATTCTCATGGTGGGGGTTGGGAGGTAGGGGGTGAATGCACTTTTTCAAACTAAAAGTATCCCATTGCCCTGCAGGATGTATGTGCTCTCACTCTTGCCCCTGGGGAGTTCCTTGGTTCAACAGAGATAAACACTATTAATAGTCTCTGAGGATCGATGTGGTCAGTGAAGGGGGTAGTTAGGTCTGTCTGCTGGTTCCACTCCTTTGCATCAGCATTATTAATATTTATTAATAGTTCTATGTTTTGTAACTACACAAAAGCACAATTTCATCCACAAAAGGCAATTTTAAAGAGGATTTCAAAATGTTTGGTTATTTAACATGGTTTGAGGGGTTTTTTCTTTTTTTTCTTTTTCTCCTTTTTGGTGATAGTGCAGGAAGCACCAAGTAACAAAGAACAGAGAAAGCATAAAAGAAATGACATGGATTGTGAAGCATAGTTTAAGCATAGTACATGTGGAAACACAAGAATTTGCATGCATTCTTATTTTGATGTGTAGCCATTACCCAAAACAACAGAGTTGAAAAGTGCTTTTTTAGTTTTGAAATTAGCCCACAAATTAGGCACTGTGATGCACACACCTGTAATCCCAAGAGCTCAGGAGCCTGAGGTAGGAGGATTGCACACTCCAGGTCAGCCTCAGCAATTTAAAAAGAAATCCTGTCTCAAAATAAAAAAAAAATAAAAAGGACTGGGATGTGGCTCAGTAATCCCTGGGTTCAATTGCTAGTATTGGGGATGGGGGAGAAAGAAAAGAAATTAGCCTGTGAAAAAATAAATAAATGGAACAGCACATAAAAATCTCTCTGCTGGTGTGCACTCCAGTTTGCTGTAAGTTTGAAGAGCTCTCCTGAACAGTCATTAAGCATGATTTGCAGTTGATCAGTTGTGCAAAAGTAGCCAAGGTCTCAGGTGTACTAGAGATAACCTATCTGCCACCCCAAATATTAAGGATGCAATAATCATGAGCCAAGTTGTTTGGGACATTGGTTATCTGGTAACTCAAGTTAAATGGAACTCTGTTAAGAGAACCTCTACTCTAAGTGGTAGAGTTGGAGTTTAATGTCAGGCATTCTGACTCCAGAAACTGTTCTCTTAAGAGGCTTACCCATTGAGTTCTCCATCTCCTTGCTAGAAGAGATGTTTACAAAACTGAACGAATAGAAGGAAGGGATAGCAGTAACTTCTACAGGATAAAGGATTTTATGATAGCTTCACCTCTTTTTAAATCATTTGAGTTCTGAAGCCTGTTATGGTTAGTATTGCAAGTTATTTGAAAGTATGTGTGCATGTGCAGATCCGTAGGACCAACTGTGCTCAGGGAAATTCTATCATAATATTTTGGGGAACAGGATCTCCCATTCCATAAAGATAGTTTTTCTCCACTGATGTTTGAAATCTCACTATTAGAGAATTATTCTTTAGAATACACTGCAAAATTTGTATTATACACTGCAAGATTTGTATTAACCTGTGAAGCTTTAAAAGTTAGAACAAGATGGACTATTTTTAAATGGATTATCCTCTCCCCCCATCTCAACTCCACCAGGAAAAAAATAGGGTCTGCAACTTGGCTTTTGATATGACAAAGGAGATCACTGTTCTTTCTCACATTTGATGTTAAAATAGCATACTTGCCCCAAACACTCTGATAGGAATTTCAGAAATAGACATTTGGGAGAATACACTTGGTCATGTTAGTTTTTGTTAATGGTCATGTCTAATCTTGCTATTGTTGTTTGAAAAAAAAAAAAATCAGACCAGAACATAAGCACTGGAAAAGAGATATACAAAGGGACATTTTCTCTCAAAGAAGTTGATTTGTGAAGAATGGAAAGTCACTTTCAAATTCTTCCCTCTTGTCATAAGGGGAGATAACTATCTTATTGTATAAGAGCCCTTCTTGGGCCTGATTCTTCAAGGTGGGCAGGGYGAGAGATTAGCTTTGGGGGCCTTTATTTGGTTGCACAGTGAGGCTGGAACCTTGTAAAGCTTTTCCCAGGGATGGAAATGGATTCACAGTTGCAGACTCAGTGGCCCTGGGGGTTCACAGCGAGAAGCCATGGCAACCCAGCCATAAAGGGGCGTTTCACTTAAAGCAGAAAATTCTTAAAGGCCGCTGAGGACAAAGCCTTATCCTAATTCCTGCTTTTAATTCTGTATTACCCCCTGCAGCAATTGAGCCTTGAGGATATTGGGGTGGGGGGGTAGGGTGAGGTGTCTGTTAGAAGACAGCCTCTACATCTTTTTTCACCAAGATACACGAAGCTCTGATTCCCTGCGGAAATGTGGAGAACAGCTTCTATTTTTCTCTCTAATTTGAATAAACCTTCACTTTTAATATGCCAAATGCCAATTCAAATGAGATTCAGATAAAAGGATTTAGTTTGGCTTTCTTACCTACAGTCTACTGACTCACATGCCTGGGGGTGGTGGAGTAGGAGGGTGAAGCTTTGGGGGGCAAACAAACACTCACCTCTCCAAACGTGCCTGTTCCTGCTTCGGGGGCAGGGCAGCTTGTTGCAGCCTAGTCCTGGGGCTCTGGGCTCCGAATCCTTGAGGTTTAATGATTTCTCTGGGAGAACTGGTCGCAGCTGCCCTGAGTGGAGGAAGAAGTATTTCCTCCCTTTCTAACCAAGGGAGGTAAATACTCTTTTAACTTATTGCCCTGGAAAAGGAAATGTGGTTTGCCAGTGGTTAAATAAATCTGTTGTACATCAGTTAGTCAGCAGGCATCTTGGTGACACCATCCTTGGCCCTGAATCAAGAGTAAGGACTGCTCTGGGAGTTCAGGCCATTCTCAGCTACCTACCCTAATTATGCTACTTTTCTTGTTAAACTGCAATAATTTTGTATCCGATATAAATTTGTCTGAATTTTTTTAAGACATCACATTTTAGGAAAGGAAAAAGATCCGAGAAGAAAGCTTATTTTTCTCAACGTCTTTAAACTGGTTCAGCTGCTAGTTTTGCATTTTTTATTAGGGAATTGGTAGCCTGGGGACGAACTGCAGCTGTAGATGTATTTTGTTTGTTCTGCAGTGTTTTCTAGAATTTGAATTAACTTCCAACATTTAAAAAATCAAGGATTCCCCACCCCCTTCTTTCTATGTTTCAGGGAATTGAACCTAGAGCCTCCCACATGTTAGGCAAGTGCTGTATAACCAAGCCACATCCATTCCCCAAATCCACTCTTAAATTGCCATCTAGATTATCAACTCCTCAACAAATTTAGCAGGTCTGGGTACACTGGCTCCTGTCCTGGCAAGGATATGGTTGGAAGCAGTAGAACAGTGGCCCTTCCCCATGTCACCTGCCCACTTTGGGCTGGGCATTGTTTCCCAGCACCATGTCTTTCTCCCTGCCTTGCTCACTCGTGGACCATCATCTGGATCCTATAACAGTTTACATTTTCCACACTTGTGTCCCTTTCTAATTCTTTTCCAGTGAATTTGTTCCATTTAAGAAATTCAAGTACACAGATAAGTCATTAAGTGTTCATTTTTATTACTTAAAAATTTTTAGGTTTTAGCTTTGTTCATTTAAGAAAATGATTCCTGTCGGATGCGGTAGCACAGGCCTATAATCCCAGTGGTTTGGGAGACTGAGACAGGAGGATCACAAATTCAAAGCCAGCCTCAGCAACTGCAAGGTGTTAAGCATCTCAGTGAGACCCTGTCTCTAAATAAAATAAAAAATAGGGCTGGGGATATGGCTCAGTGGCTGAGTATCCCTGAGTTCAATTAAAAAAAAAAGAAAGAAAGAAAAGAAAAAGAAAAATGATTCCTTAATGTTTTCCTAACAAAATGTAAATGCATTATAAAATACGACAAAATTAACAAAACCAACTTTAAGAAGTTAAACTATGGAATAGTGGTATACCAAAGGAAGAAAGTAGTCCATCCAGGTGGAGATATGGAGATAAAAGGATAAAAGGATGTCCACTTGATGGAGGGAATTCCTTCCTTCCTTCCTTCCTTCCTTCCTTCCTTCCTTCCTTCCTTCCTTCCTTCCTCCCTCCCTCCCTCCCTCCCTCCCACTGAGCCACATCCCCAGCCCATGTATTTTGAGATAGGGTCTCACTAGATTGCCCAGACTGGCCTTGAATTTGCAAACTGCCTGCCTCCTGAGAGGTTGGGATTAGAGGCATGTGCTACCACACCCAGCTTGTAGGGGATTTAAAAGCAATAATAAAAACAGCTAAAGTCCTTCTGCTTTTGATCATCACCATGTTTCAACATTTCTGAACATGATGTGATGAAAAACTCCTCCCTTCAAAGATATTTTGTTGGTTTAAATTCTGATCAATTGCTTGATTATTGGGAATTTTAATTTTATGTGCAATTTATTTTTACTAGACATTTTATAAAAAGTTGATTTTTCTTATTTTGAAAATATTTTGAAAAATATTTCTTATTTTGTTATTTATTTGTTGGTAGACAATGCCTTTAAAATTTCTTTTTCTGTAGTTGTAGATGGACAGATGCCTTTATTTTATTTATTTATTTTTTTGTGGTGCTAGGAATTGAACCCAATGTCTCACATTCGCTAGGCAAGTGCTCTGCCATTGAGCTACAACCCCAGCTCCTAGACAATGCCTTTTACATTGAATATTATTGACAATAATATTCTCAGTCACAGAGTGCCGTACATTGACTTAGCTAGGTTTCCTTCAAATTCAAGTTGATAAGCATTCCAGATCTTAGATGTAGTTTGTCTTCCCACTGTGATGCTACATATGCCTGCATTTACACAAAAGATTTAAAATACAAAGTGATTGCACAATCACCATAAAGATGAAGAAACAGAGTCAGGATTGGAGGTATATGCCTATAATCTCTGTGACTCAGGAAGGCGAGGCAGGAGGATGCCAAGTCCGAGCAATTTAACAGGGAGACCCTCAGCAACTTAGTGAGACCTAGTCTCAAAATAAAAAAATAAGGGGCTGGGGATGTGGCTCAAAAATAAGGGGCTGGGGATGTAGCGCGCTCGCCTGGCATGCGTGCGGCCCGGGTTCGATCCTCAGCACCACATACCAACAAAGATGTTGTGTCCGCCGAGAACTAAAAAATAAATATTGAAGATTCTCTCTCTTTCTCTCTCTCTCTCCTCTCTCACTCTCTCTTAAAAAAAAATAAAAAATAAAAAATAAAAAATAAAAAAATAAAAAGGACTGGGAATGTAGGTCAGTGGTAAAGTACCCCTGGTGCCTAAATCCCTAGTATCCCCTCCAAAAGAGATGAAAAACAGGATTTCAGGGATTTCCTCCTCTTTATTCCATGTTATCACTTGGGGTTTTTAGTTTTTAAAATTTAAGAGTGAGTACTGCAAATTTTAGTGAGTACTAAAATTTAACAGGGAGTACTGCAAGTTGTACTATTTTTTATTTCACAAATGTAAATTTTAGTCCACAGATGCATTTTTAATTTTTTTTCTACTGAATGTGGGTGATATTTTTAAGATTTAAAATCGTTTTTGTTAATGATCTGTTTCAAAACTAAAGATTGAATCAGGGAGTAAAAACATAGCAATGATGTAATTAGTACTTGATAAAATGTACCTTCTGCAGACATTTCATCCACTTTTTAAAAATTCAATTATTAATTGCTAAGCAGTTGCATAGAATATTATTATAGCATTGTGTAACAAAGTGGTCTATAGTCAAATTGTTAGATATAAAAATCGGTTAGAGRAATAAATAATCTTTTCCACCACTCCCCCAAACCTGACCTCAACCTTGCAGTCCTCCTGCTTCAACATCCTGAGTAGCTGGGATTACAGGCATGTGCCACTGTACTTTGACTTTTTTTGTGCTGGAGATATATATTACTTATTTATTTTTATTTTCTGGAATCATTATATATATTTGAAATTCAGGAAAATAAAGTATCTTTTTGTGTGTGTAGTACTGGGGATTGTACCCAATATCTCACACATGTTAGGCAAGAGCCTATCACATCCTCAATCCTTGCTATTTCTTAATTGCCTTTAATTCAAAATAATCCTTACGTAAAAGTTTCATGTTTGGGAGTGGTATATTCTGACCCACTTCATGAACTCAGCAAGATATGTTCAGGTCCACTGGATTTTTTCTATGTGTTGCAGTCCTCTGAACTGAATATTTTTAAGTTTACTTTTTTTGTAATATATATATTTTATTTTTTCGTTGCAGGTGGGCACAAAAGCTTTATTTCATTTTTATGCAGTGCTGAGGTTTGAACCCAGTGCCTCCCATGTGCTAGGCGAGCGCTTTACCACCAAGCCACAGCCCCAGCCCCAAGTTTACTTTTTTTAAACACCATAGTTAAAAAAAAAAAAAAAAAGACATGAATGTTACCATCTTAACCATTTTTAAATGTACAGTGCAGTAATTCAGCCTTCACATTATCATGAAACAGATCTTTACAACTTTTTCCCTTGCCAATCTGATACCCTGTGCTTGTTAAACTACTTCCTGAATATTTAAAAGCTTTCCACTGATGCATTAGGCTGTGGAAAGACCCAGGGCTAGCCAGCCATCTAATGGAGGGGAGTGTGGGATTGAAGGCACAGTGGCAATGCAGATAGAGGATACAAACTGGTCCTGATGAGGTAGTCTGATTTGTCTGGAATGGCAGAGGTTCAGGTGCAGTTCCTGTGGCCCAGGACATTACTTTTACCACAGACTTTGAAGATTCTGGGTATCTTTAAACTGAAAGTGTGCATGGAAAGACACATTAGCTGTTTTTAGCCTTATTGTTCTGTGATCAATGTTATGCCATCAAAGCACCACTACCCATTCGTCCATCCACATACTGAAAGTAGCTTTTAAAATAACTTTTTTTTTCAGAGCTGGGGGTATAGCTGTGCAGTAGAGTATCTGCCTAACATGTCCAAGGCCCTGGGTTCAATCCCCAGCACTGGAAAAAAAAAAAAAAGAAAAGAAAATCATAACCCTTTTTAATTATAACAGTTGCATATTTATCATAGAACATTTAGGAAACAAAAAAGGGATGGATTTCAGGTCTGGTGGTGTGTGTCTATTATCTGAGCTGCTTGGGAGACTGAGGTGGAAGGATCACTTGAGCTCATGAATTTGAGATCAGCCTGAGCAACACAGTGAGACACTATCTCAACAAACATAAAATAACAATTAAAATCATTCTAGCTGGGGATGTGGCTCAAGTGGTAGCGCGCTCGCCTGGAAGCGTGCGGCCCAGGTTCGATCCTTAGCACCACAAACAAAGATGTTGTGTCCGCCGATAACTAAAAAATAAATTTAGAAAAATTAAGAAAAAAATCATTCTAAACTCCACCATTTAGAGAAACCAGTCTTGACATTTTGGTATATTTCTATACTTTAAAAATATTTAGCTGAGCATGGTGGTGTAACCTGTAACCCCAGCATCTGGAAAGGCTGAGGCAGGAGGATTGTGAATTCAAAACCAGCTTCAGCAATTTAGAAGGCCCTAAGCAACTCAGTTATACCCTTTCTCTAAATAAAATACAAAATAGGACTGTGGGTGTGGCTCAGTGGTCCAGTGCCCCTGAATTCAATTCCCAGTACTCCCCCCTTTCCTGCCAAAAAGAAAAAAAAATTAAGTGAGATTAAGCTGAACATGGAATTTTATTTATTTATTTTTAATATATTTTTAGATGTTGATGAACCTTTAT